GCGTCGTCCGTCTACCTCGGACCGTTTTCCCGTTCGCTTTTTACTTTACGCCCGTGCCTCTCTGATTACGATACACTGCCGCCCGCCTCGAGCTTGCGATGGTTTCCTATTTAGTGACTGCCTCGTTTATGCGTTTATTTAGCCGCGCCGCGCTCCAGGCGCGGCGCCCGCGCCTCGTTCGTTACCACTCGCTCGTTCCTCAGATATACCCGCCCTCTCGCGGACGACGCCCCTCAGTCTTTGCTCTCTGCCCGAGCGTCCGTACTGAGGGGTAAGTCTGCTGTCCACTCGTTGTCCCGCGTACTGTAGCTCACCGTACTTGTTTAGTCTATCCGTGCTACTTACAGGTACAGAATACAGTCTTTGCTCTCTGCCCGAGCGTCCGTACTGAGGGTCTATCCGTGCTACTTACAGCCCAGTACGACTACTTGCTCTCATACGATGCCCTGCAACTCTCCGTTCGTCAAGAGAGGCTGGCTGAAGCTTAGGCACATTGCGGTACGATTGCCGACAAGCCCGCCGACAATGTGCGAGGTACTAGTACTCACTTCTGCGCTCCGGTGTAGATCGTCGGAAGCTGGAAACTGCTGCCAGGGCTCTGCGTGCTATTTGGTGCCGCCGACCCCAAGGCGCTGCGATCCATCGTGGTCGACTACAGTATGTCGGAGGCGGGAGTCGAGGCAGATTGTAGGCTCCTCTTCTGCATCCACGCCCGCCTGATCTGATCTCTGCAACCTCACTGTAGACGAGACATTTCTGCGATTTCTAGCAGCCTGTTCATCCCTCGAGACCATCACCGCGACGAGAGTCCGCAGCGTCTTCAGCGCCTTCCTTCATATGCGCTTCGTCTCTGAGCTGCTCGTCAACCTTCCGCCCGCGCGGTGCCTGGACCGGTTCGTGGTGGACCTCGCGCACAGCCCCGCCGACCCCCAGCGCGTATTGCAGGAGATCGGTGACTTGTCAGACATCATAGAAGAGTCACCGCGATGTCCTCGGTGCCTCGAGATTCGTGTCCTCAACTGGAGCATGTGGAGAGATATCGCTCCGGAGTGGCATGCGAAGGTTGCGCCCCAGTTTTCTGCCGCCGCTCTCGCGCGCGTAACGCTGGAGGTCGTGGTCCTCGATAGGATGCTCATATGTGGGTGCCCTGCAGTGTTTCCCGCCGACTTTCACGCAGCGCTCACGGTTCGTGTAGATGAGGGGTTTCCTCTAGGTGGTTGGATGTGGGAGTAACACCGGTAGACCAGCGTCATCCTATATTGACATTGTACACAGAACTGATGAACCAGGATCTTTGAAAGCCCTTCCCTTAGTAGCCGAAGCCCTGTTGGCCCTCTCCCGTCCCCGCCGCGATCGCGAGGTTCCGTGCGAGACTCTCCGCCATCGCGGTGCTGTCGGTACCGACGTTTATCTATACGACCGCGGGTCAGCGTCAGCTGAAGGGATCGCGCGTACGCCGTCATGCGCACCATGTCGAAGCCCTCCTTGGCGCGCTGTGCGGCCTGCGAGCCAGACGTGCAGAACATCGCGCTGTTGGGAGTCAGCATTCTAGAACATAAGAATGGGGTGGAGGGAAGACCGACCATTTTTTACCCTTTGCGTGCGCAGACGCGAGGATGCTCTGGATCACCTTCTCGACCTCGGGGTGCGGGTCGGGCGAGGGCGCGGGGAAGCCGAGCGAGAGGGATAGGTCGTACGGGCCGATGAACACTCCGTCTGCGGCCGCCACACGGTCCAGTCAGCGCCGTCAGCTATGTATCATGAAGGGTCAGGGAGTAGACACCCACCGAGTCCGTCAACGGAGAGGATGTCGTCGAGATTCTTGACGCCCGCGGCGGTCTCGATCTGCACGAGGACAATAATCGCGTCGTTCGCCTGCGCGAGATACTCGCTCGCGCTGGTGCCCCACGCGAGGTGCGTGAACGGGCTCCCGAACCCGCGCACGCCCCGCGGCGGGAACCGCGACGCTGCGATGACAGACTCTGCCTGCGCACGCGTCGACACCTATTAGCAGGTCACTGGTCAGTAATTGTATCACCCATAGACTAAGAAAGTACCAGATTAACGCACCATGGGGACGATTATGCCCCGCGCACCCGCGTCGAGGACATACTTGATCTGCCAGCCCGCGCTGCCGTCCGCGCACGCGCCCGTCGCGGGGATGCGCACAATCGTCGTCGGGGCGGCCGCCCCGAGTCCCGCGATCGCGTGCGCGCTCTCCGCCGCACCGGGCTGGATGGAGATCGCGCCGTGCTCGCAGTCGAGGACCACCCAAGAGAGGTGGGGGGAGGACGCGGCCGCGGTGCGCGCGGAGAGCACGCCCGGGAGCGTGATCCAGGCGCCGAATGCGGGCTTGGACGCGCGGAATGCGGTGAGCAGGGGGTGCGTGAGGCTCGCCATGGGGGGATTCGTGGTGAGTTGTGCTAGGGGATGGTAAACTACTGATAGGGGAGCGGCTTATGCCTACCTAAGATTGACATTAGTGCATGGTGTATCTAGTGTATCTGGACTACTACTTACTGGCTGACAGAGTCTGAGATTGCAATGTGTTTGTCGCGCACGCTCGACTGTCGCAGTGAGAGTGTGAAGCGAAAGCACGAGTGGCGGTCGAACTGGCTCCCTTACTATCGTGAGGTGTAGCTCGCCATCTCACGGTACCGCCGTATGCGGGGAGCCGGTAGAGTTGGGGAAGCAGATCATGTGTTCATGCACCGTCCCGCTTTAGAGCACAAGTGCGCACGGCGCCCTCTGGCGTAGTGCGTGCCATGAGATCGGATGACTTCACTAACGCGTCCCGGGCCGATGCGAGCGGTGCGCCCAATATTACTAGTCATTGGTCACCGGGAGGACCGAGGTAAGAAGTCGAGCAAGCCCAGCATGTCTTGATATGTACCGTGCACTAATGATGCTCAAAGTCGGACGATGGACGGGGAGCAAGATCCAGATGCTCAGAGTGCTGACAGTCTAGGAGCGCAAACGACATCCTATTTTACCGGACCACGGCGTGGAAGGTGTAGCGAGCTGAATGACTGTTAACAATCGCTAGAAAGTGGTCCTGTGTTTGGTCGGCAACGTGTTCGCCTTCTGGAGTGGGCGGTAGGTGAGCGATTTGACATACGAAGAACGACGCACCATAGATTGCCGCGGCCGCCGAAGCTTAAGATCTAGCTGAAGTTGCCTGTATGAATATCATCCTGCGCTGCAGGATCAGAGTAGACCTCGCCGGGTACACTAGCAGAAAATGAAGCGGCAGCGAGACCCCAAAGCAATGAATGGGGGTCGCATGGGGTGCAAGCTTCATACCCAAGCTATACAAGCCAGCATTTGAGCTTAAGTAGACATCTTTGGAGGGTGGGTGACGACATACCGCTCGACATGTCGTCTTCTACGACGTATACCCACGCGCGTGGTGCGCCACATTGCTGATGTGGGGATGGCTGTCCACCAAGCTCCGAGGGATTTTGACATGGAGGTGCAGCTGACCGCCCGCCCATGCCGTGTATATGGTTACTGCGTGCGAAGGTAAGTGTGGTAAAGCGGTGATGTGCACCTGGAGCTCAGCAGCTGCTCTCGCAGGTCGCGAACGGAGCGTACTCTCGGTGACCAATAATACGATCTGGCTCGAGAGCCAGCTATTTACCTGCGAGCCTATTCCGGGAGTCCGAGACATGAAATAGACCCGAGGCATTGTGGCACGCAAGTAGAGTGGATCTGGCCAATCGCGGCGTAGCGGAGCTCGTCGAACTTCTCTTCTACGCCGATTTTGAAAAGAAGCGTAGCCGGACATGAGCTGGGCCAATATTGGGAGCGCCAGGAACATATATTGCGTGCTGGGGGTAAAACCGGGGCTACATGGATGGCGCAATGCGATCAGACACCGCACTGTGGTATCCGAGTATCCCGGAGAGGCATGCGGGGTGTCGAAAAGATGGACGCGTTATATATACGTGTCCGGAGAAGAGCAGAAGGCGAACGTTTGAAGGCGAGCGATCACGCACGATGGTGTGTCGTGCGAGAACAGGCCAACGTGCCCACTCACAATTAGACAAGAGACCGCAGTGGCGGTGGGCGGGTGCTTCACGTGTGTTCTGGAGGTGTTTGGAAGGCCATGCGCAGGGCACGAGAATGATGAAGGGAAGCCAAGAGAGCGGAGAAAGGTTAAAGGAGGCTTGCGGGGGCGCGCGCGCAGGCTGGGAGACACGTCCCATGACGCAGGCACGTCGCAATCGAGCGCAAGAGCCGGGGCGCGGCACGACCCCAGCAGGCGAGGGTACTAGTAGTTCCGGGCAGACGGGGACGGTACTCACCCACAACACACGTCCTGCCACGCACGCCCCCGCCCCCGACCCGCCCGCTGGCCGTCCCGCGCACGGAGAGCGAGCATTACGACCTGCCCAAGCTGCTCACGAAACTGAAGAGGATGGACAGTCAGGATACGGCGGTTTCGCCAAGTAGGCGACCGTCGTGGAAAGGCGCGCTAGGCGCTAAGATCCAGAGGATCCTGTCGACGGGCGAGGAATCGACAAAGGACGAGGAGTCGACGCTCGCGGGGGAGGACGTGTCGTCGGTGAAGAGCTGGCCCGCACGAGGAAGGGGGAAGGTGGTGGGAGAGAAGAGAGAAGGTGAGTAGCCTCGTTGTCGACGAGCGAGGCTGGGGAGATAAGGAGATAAGCCCTCACTCGGTCGTTCTGTACGGCACTCCCAAAGGCTGTCTTCAGCAGGCGATCCCAAGCCTGTCGGTGAGCGGGAGAGTGAGAGAGCGACGGCACTGGAAAGGCTCTCCGCCACACATCAAGCGCCCGCCCCCTATGACGTCGTTTCTCTCGCGTCGCCTCTCTGCTCTGACTGCTCTCATGAGTCCGTCCACTGACTGGGTCGTGCTCAGTGCTTGCTGTCTCTCACGTGCGCTCTCTCTCGCGTCGCCTCCCGCAATCGGCCACAGGCGAAAGCGCGCCTTCTACACACGACCGCACGGCTCTGCGAAACGTGCCATCCTGCTGTTCTCGCCCCAGGCACTCTGCCGGCCTCCTCCCTCCCCCTCCACGACCTCCTGCACCGTCCTGCGCTCGCCGTCCCTCGCGATCTCTGCACAGCGTGATGCATGCGACTGTGCGCTCATGTCATGTGCGTTCCCGCCCTCGCCCGTCAACATCTGTGCTCACAGTGTCCGATACACAGCTCGTCTGCACCCTTAAACTCACATGCCCGGTCCAATCGCATGCGACAGCTTCCCATTGATGTCCCGGTCGTGCATGAGTATGGCCCCGACCTGCCTACGACTTCATTCGGCGTGCGGAGGAGAAGCGGTCTGTAGACGGCTGCATTATTCCATACTTGCCCATCGTCCACGCCGCCCCCTAGGCTGCACCGACGCGTGTGCGTCACGCATGCCGTCGCAAAGACCGTCATATCGATCCATCTGGTAAGTTCACAGGCTCGCCAGACGCAAACTGAGCTGACAAAGTTCAATTTATAGGCCGTCCGCGCTACAAAATCGAAACACCTGCTCCCCATCGCGCAGTACACGCTGGGTGCGTCGTGAAATATGTGCGCATAGACCGTCTTGACGTGCCCGCAAAGTCGTTCACCACGACTCGCAGAACTACGCCCGTGACGTCGTCGACACTCCGTGCCCGCCCATGCGCTCGCCCGCAAGACCGACCTTCAACGGCCACGCCCCGCAACGCTTATACGCGAGGTACATGCTTATCACACCTTGAAGAGCGTGTACGCGCATGCGCGGAGCTGCCGCGGACATTCTACGCGCGGAGTGCTGTCCGACTCGCACTGCTACCCAGCGAGTCGTCTGCCCCTCCCGCCATCGCAGCGCTTCGCGGGCACGTCGCGACTGTATGCTGAACGGCAGAGGTGATATTGATCTCGTATACAGTGTCGTTTCAGCTCTCTCTGCCGTGAACTGCGCTAACGAAGTCGTTTTTTCAGAGCGCCCGCGGACAAACATTCGCATAATCGACTCAGAAACCTCTGCAGAAGCCTACAAGCACCCTCGACGCTACCATGTGGCATCTCTACGCCATTTCCGACACCGTCGAGTGCCCACCACGGCATCAGGCCTGTGCACACTGTGGCGCTGACAGTGACATCCACCGCCAGGTCCGCGCACATCACCTCGCAGGCCGGTCCACGCTTCCTACACACATCAGATACGTACGGAAACACACAAGACACAATCCCTGCGCGTACACCTCCGTAGCGCACGTTTGGCGTGTCCCGCGCCGCCGACACTGCAGGCCCGCCGTCCCCTTCCCGACCTTCTCGCGCTCCGCCATCGCGCCCGCAACGCTTTTCGACATGACGTAGCACTCCCACGCACCAGGACGCATACACCCACGACGTTTCGCGGCGATCCGAAGAGGTCAAAAATGGTTCATGTTCGGTGATTTCATTGGCGCCATCAGCAACGACATCACAAATTTCCGCCTCTCGGTCGCCCCTCCCGTCCGTTGGCTACTAAAATTCGCAGATACGTGACGGCATACATCTCGCATTGTCTCCCGCCGCGTGCGAACACGTACGACAAGATCGCCACTCGAACTCTCCGCGGCGTCCCGATCGACATCGCGTCGGCGAGCACCTCTCGACATCGCCCCCTCGTGCTGGCGAGCCCCGCTTTCGACGCCGACTACTTGGGAAGCACGGACACGACATCCGCGCTGTGGCGAGGACACCACCGTGCGCAGAACAGCCTTCGCGAAGTACGCCGTCACCTTGTACCCGGCCCCTGTTGGCGCACTCGCGCGCCGGCATCGCAACCGGGACGCACAAGAAGAAGACGGCGCGCTGCCATGGACCCAGACGCACTCCGGGAACAAGTCTCGAAGCGATACGAGGAGGTCAAAAATCGTCCCATGATGACGATTTCATGGACGATCTCACGGTGAAATCGACAAAAACGCGCGTCCCCGCACGCCCACGCCTCCTCCCGCGGCGTCATCTGGCACACGCCCTGCTGTGCACCTCCCGCGCACTCTCCCGCTGCAATCAAGCGCGTAGGGCGGGTTTGGGCGTCGGGGTCTCGCGGCGAGGTGCGGGGGACCGCGTCATCGAACACGGCGAGACGGCTCCGGCGCGGTCCACCGAGCCCCGCACGCGAAGGGCTGTGCGCACGTACCACAGAGCGTGTATGCGCGCCGCGCAGCTGTCGTCCGCGGGCACGGAGAGGACGTAGAGAGCGCGAGAGGTGCACAGTCGCCCCGTAGTCGCCCTGTCTCGTGCGCGCCCGGTGTCCACCGTGTGCCGCTGACCTACCCTCGGGCGGCGCACAGGCATCGCGGCCCCACGGGCGGGCGTACGAACAGGGCGACAGCACCCGGTTGACGTTGACGGGGCGACGCCTGCCGCTACACGTCGCCGGCCTCGTCCCGCCGCGCGAGACAGCCTCCCCCGGTTCTAGCCATGTACATAGTTACATAGCGTCTCAATATACCCCTTTCCCGCCACCCTGCCCGCCATTCGACGTCCCGCCGCGCCGTCTCCAGCTCGCGCGCCCGCCGTCGTCTTCGTCGAGATGTCACGCCGGTCGTCCGTAGCGGGAGCGCGTACCGACGGGTCACTGCACGCGCCTGCCGTATCCAAGGTCAGTCCTCTGCGCCTTCACGCGAGCTCCGGGACGCTGCTTACCTTCCAGTAATGCAGTCTGGACTCAGCGGCCGAGTGCCCTGCTTGCGGGGAGATGTAAGCGGCCCCGGCGAGGACATTCTGGAGAGGTGAGTGGTAGTTTCCGCGAGGGGGCAGAGGACGAGCTGACTCACGGTGTGCAGCATAGTCCCGCGGGACATACCGCCTTGAAACACCCTGGCACGCTCTCGGACGAGCGCGTCTCGCGAGGAACGAGTCTCTGAGCGCGTCTACGTCCCGCGAGAGGCCGTGCACGAAGCACACGCAGGCGCCGCGCGTGCGGGGGCGTATTGGATTCGTACCATGATGTACGACTCGGAGCCGCTGTCGTGCATTTGCGCGCGACCGCGCTGCCGCAATCTCATCGTCCCGCACTCATCCGCTGTGGCACACACCTGCATGGCAATACTATCTCGGCCCCATCCCGTCTGTCCAAGTCGCTCCCGCCGTGTTCCCTCCTTCGTGGAGGGAGTCATGCCTCGGTGCCGTTGCCGTTGCGATGTCGCTCTAGAAACAACAAGGTCAGCGTGATCTTACGAGCTGTGGTCTACTCCGGTGCTGTACTCACAGCTGTGCGTCGTAGGCTGTCGTAGGTCCCGCGAATGCCGGAGAATGTGACGACGGCGCGGTACGCACGGCGTATGGCAGATGCAACGTGGTAGTCTCGACGGGGAGGACCTGGTGGTGGAAGAAGTGAGTATTCGGAATGCAAGTAACTGACTCGCTATTTCGACTCACTCGGGATGTCTTGCGGCACGAACGATGCACTGGTGGTCATGCTCATGATCGTCTTCGGCGCGTGCATCGCATGCCCCGGGATACGTCGTGCTGGATGGGACACACTGTTGATGGCAATCAGTGAGCGTGCTGATATACCGCACTCACCGGGTTCTGCAGGAAGCATCAGCTTCCGGTGTGTGGCCCAAGCAGCCTGCGGGCATGGTCGGGACACATCGCACTCAGAAGGGAGGATGATGGTGCGAGGAGGAGGGCCAATGGAGTGCGGCGGCGAGGGGCGGGGATGCGGGCGGCGGCGAGTACGAGGACAAGGGCGACTCGGAAGCGAGGACGAAGAGGGAGAAAGGTGAGTACGCCCGCGTTGCGCACACACCCGTATTTATCCCATCGTAGTTTAGGGCCGTCTTGCTCTCTACTGCCGTGCCATGGTCCGTGCGGCGACCATCTACCGAGGCCAAGTGATCCTCCGTCCTATGGAAACGGATGCTTACGAACACGGCACACCAGCCTTACGAGACGACCGGACGACGTCGCCGAGCCTACTGCATGGTGAGCCAACCATCGAGCCACATGACGAGCCGAGTGCAACGGGGTGAGCGGGGATGGATGCACACGGACATGTCGCGGGAGGGTGAACGTACCTACGCGGCGCGGTGTGCTTCTGAGCTGGTCTCGAGGGACCGCGGCGCTCGCTTCGTATAGTGGGCGCTCGGTACGCAGATGTCAAATGCCCTCGTTTCAGGCGCATACGGGCGCTGCGGCCGCGGACTTGATGAATGTATCCACCATTGTGTCCATTTCTGTATCACAGAAGGCTGGACCGGCGGTGCTGGGAGGCCCAGTAGTGTCGGAGCCACGGCGAGTGTACGACCCCGAACTTGCAGGTATACACCTGTACCGTTCGTAGACACTCGTGTATTGGCAGCAATATATGTGTCTGGAAGATACAGGTCAGCGCCGCAAATGCAAGCCCGTATGGGCGATTGTGCTCGCCTGCTCACGGACGTAACACATTTGTGCATACGTTATGTGCACGGAACACGGAGTCAAATCTAGAACGGGCTACGAACCGTCAGTGGGTCGAGAACCGCGATGCGATGCAAGAACGTACATGCTATCGCCAACATGGTGCCGGGCTACCCACTCGACCCTGAATATTCGGCAGCCCAAACGTCTGGTAAGGATGATAGATGCGCAATGTGATCCCTGCAGCTTCGGAAAGCACTCACCAAAAAGTGTGGGTATGTCGCCTGCGAGATGGAGACACCAGAGGTGTAAATCATAATAATCTGCTGTCAAGATTGCATAGCTCAGCTCTATGGAGGGTAGACAAGACTAGCAGTATTCGCACCATATCTGTGCGCCAGCGACATATCAGCACAACGTACTCAGTGCGCAGGGCTAGCATACGCATGCGCCAGGGTTCCTGAAAGCGTACAAGAATCAAAGTCAGACATTTTCACAGAAAGTGACATAACACATACCAGTCGCGTTGGATAGAGAAGCGGCCGCCCACAGATCTTGTTCCCTTCACGACTACAAAGCCCTACGTGGCTGCTTGATGCGACTTTATCCCGAAAATATAATCAAATTAGATCCATGCACGAAATGGTGGAATCTGTGGCATGTTCAGATTGCTGACTCTCGAGGAATCGCTGGTACGAGCCGCCGAGTTTCGGGAGACCTCAGAAAACGAGTAGAATACCGGAATCACTTCCAGTGGACCAGGAAGCATCGTTGGAAGGCTCGTTATATGATACACCACAAATATACAAGAACACCTTGCTTTGAGCCTGCTGCCGAAGCCACCAGAGGGCGTGTTCGAGTGCCGGGTTGCACGCGCGGGATACTTGGACTCGGATGACGGGACGATCGATCCAAGAATGGGCGCGCGCATAGTGCTTCGAGCTCGCGTACAGAGCCAGCCTCATGCAAGGGTCTCTAAAGGACAGAATGTACTTCCGGCAGTCCACAAGCAAAGAGACGAAGTCGTACAGACAAGACGAACAAGACCGTCGAGAGAGTGCAGTGATGGCCACGCGCATATTGGGCGGCTCTGTTCCTTCTTACCCAAAAAGGCAGGCAGGTGGCCACACTCACTCACCCGGACCCTGTGCTTGCACACCGTCTTGCCTTTCTCCGCGGCCGCGACCTGCTCGACGAATTTGTAGCATGGTCGCACGGCGTTCAGTACCGACTCGCGGCAAGCCCACGAGTGACGTCTTCGCGAATCTCGACTACAGGGTCAAGCGAACGCAGCGCCCGCGAGATCGGAATCATATCTGAGATCTGAGGGCCGTGTCCCGAACCGTCGCATGGGGAGCCTTAGTGTATGTAATTACAGAGTCACACCATCTCTTTGAATAATGAGAACCCCATAATGTTGTGATACATGAAATGCAGAAGTGTAAGGGGTCAGGAAAAAGAGAGCGAGCAGTGCCCTGCTGCACACTCTGGTCTTCCTGCTCCTTCCACTTCTGACCAAGTGAGAACATGCAGAAATGTAGGCGGGCCCTGCAGAGCTTGCCGGAGTATGTCTGTGTGAATAACCGAACCATGGGCCTAGAGCCATGGTCATTTTTGTGTGCATCAGAACGTAAGAATAAGATATGTTCCCCAGAAGTAAGGATACTCCCAGAGCGACCAGATGCCCGATCACGCTGTATCCACAAACCCAGAGATACTATTGGTGGAATGTACAGGGCGATACAGCTACGTAAAGGGGAGCATCAGACCGGACAACCCCGAACACCCGCTGCTTCACGACGCTCGCGCCGCGCGTCCTTACGCGGCA